CAGTCGCAGCAAGGCCAGTGGATCGGCCTCGAGAGTGCCTTGCAACAAAACTCACATGGGGTGAGATCTGGCGAATGGTCCCGCTGCGGCTGAGCTTTAACGTACGATCTGCATTTTATGTGTTACCTTACAGTATCAACATGGTCGAGTGGCATGCGGCTACTGACCCGGCATGCCCACCATGCAGAGCTAAACAGAAGCTCGAGCACGTATTGTCCGCGTGCAAAAAAGCTCCAGGTCAGGGAGGATGTACTTGGCGCCACAACAAGGTCCTGAAAGAGTTAGCGCCGTTGTAGGCCAAGCTATGATAAAGGCCAATGCGAGGGCCAGTCCTAGTGCGCTACCCCAAAGCTGGGCAGATTTATAAAGGTAAATTCAACAATGTCGCATACGCTCCATTGATGCTTGACTGATAGGAACTGCTACTGACGGTTGACCTGTCTGGTCACAAAAAGTACCCAGAGTTAATCCGGAAGACCGGTCTGCGACCCGACATAGTCCTTCACTCAGCGGAGAAACGACAGCTCGTCCTGACTGAGCTGACCGTGCCGTATGAGTCGCGAATGGACAAAAGTCATATGTATAAGCTCGAGAAATACTGTTACCTCGCGGCTGGTCCTAGGAGAGACGAAGCGTACAAAATAAGAATCTTCGCCGTCGAGGTAGGCGCAAGAGGTCTCATCTCCACTTCCATGTACAATGTGATAAAGCAGTTAGGCTTGCAAGGAAACGAGCGCAAACGATCACTTGAACAATAGGGCTAAGCTGCTGAAAGGGCTTCGAGCTGTCACTAGACACAAAGAAACGTTGTGGGGGACGGGCCTCGGTAGGCTGGTTCGGGTATCTAGTGGAAAAGAAAGTCTTATCCCCTAAGTCCATCGTGGCCGAATTGTCTGCCAGTGTCCCTCTGCCAATTGCAAACAAAGTCTAACATGTGTCCGATGAACTAACTGTATGCTTGCCACTTACGTCAAGGTTTGCCGACTGATCTAATAGGCTACCTCAGCGACTATGTAAAAAACTTCAATTCTCACAGTACCTTTTGCATGGTCACGATTTTCGTCTTGTCCCTGTCTGAGAACATCCGGTAATACGTGCAGCAGGAGCAGATCAAGCCTGAGCTTCATGAACTCAGGTGGGCCCACCCTCTGAAATTGTCTAGGAGCTCGTGGGCCGAAACAATTGTGGTCGAGGGATCACTTCTACTGATGATTGGTAGACTCCTGCAGTACATGCTCCTCTGTGGAGTTTCTTCTTAGACGTGCTAGCTAAAGGGAATATATTCTAGGTGTGCTAGCGAAAGAAGAACACATTCTAGATGTGCTAGCTAAAATAAGAACATATTATAGATGTGATAGCTAGTGGAGAATATTTTGTTAGAGAATGATGCAGGGCGCTGACGCTAAGAAAACATTGTGTGTGCTTAAACCCTTTGTATATTTTTATTGGCAGGGTGGGGGAGAGGCTCGAGATGTCCAATTATTGTCTAAGTGTGTAATAATAATAGGATTTTAGTTATTATTATTTTATCGCGTTTACTATACTTATTATACTGTTCTATTGTGAATGGCATTTAATTGTATCAATATATTTACAGGAAAAGAAAATGAAATATATAAATATATACTCAAAAGGACAGCTTCTATACATGGTTGGGGGGGGGGGGGGTGTCAGTTTACCGCCATTCAAATTTTCTAGAACAAAAAATGAATAAGAATGGGGTGGGGGCTCAGGAGTTGGGCACACCCCTTGGCAGTTATTAGTTGAAGAGGGATTAGCATTTGCCCCAACAACAATGAAGAATCCCAAAGTTGTTTTTTATTATTGTTTTCATTTTTTTTAAATCTGCCCGAGCTCTTGGCTTTACGGACTACAAGAAGCTCTTCTTAGAGCTTCTCCAGGACGGCCTGGCTTTCTTTCTGACATTTGTGTCCCATTTAAGTGCCAGCGAAGGATGTGCCCAGCATATCGCCATCTTTTCTGCCTTTTAACTGTTCCGAGCAGGGGTTGCCCATATATTTGTCTTGTTTCTTCGCCTTTCGTAAATACAACTAATTTAATATGTATTATTTGTTTTGTGCATTTTTAACCGTCGCTTCAGTTTTTCCCTTTATATGAAGTTAAATGCTAGTTAGGCCTACGTATCCTTCACATGACGTTGCAGAACCAACCCCAGCATTTTTTGCCTGTTTGATTTTACTCTGCAATTTCAAGTTGAGTTGTTTGCCTTTACTACTAAACGGTCAGCTCTCGGTACTCATTTTGATATCACTGTAAGAATGTCTGTTGCTAAATCTTCAACAGCTGGAATCGAACCCGGTACCGCGGAACTACGAATCTCCTAAGCCAAACAGCATACCCCTTTGTAGGAGACAAGTAAGAAAAAAAAATGGTCAGTAACATTCAAACTGGACTTACCTTGACCACGCTGATAGGTTTCCTGGACAGATGGTAACTTGTGTAACAGAAGAATGTAAACACCAGTATAATCGAGCGGTACCTGCAAGTGAACGGCAGAGAGTTTGATGTCGGTGAGATGGTTAACAAATTATTTTCACTGCCTGTATTTAGCTCTTTTTTGTTTTAGGGCGGTGTGGGAGCCGCCATGATGTAGCGGCTAGACCAGCGGTTCTCAACCTGTGGATCGCGACCCGTTTCTAGGTCGAATTACCCTTTTAGATGGGTTACCTGAGACCATCGGAAAACACAAATTCACTGAAGTTAGAAAGTAGCAACGCAAATAATTGCTTGGCTAGGGATCACCACAATATGAGAAACTGTGTTAAAGGGTCGCGGCCTTGAAAGATTGAGGACCACTGGGCTGGATGCTGGCCCGCGAATCGGAAGGTAGTGGGATCGGGTCCTGACAGAGCAGGACTTTTTTTTTTAATGATCCTGAGAGGGTATAATGTAAATTATCGGGAAATTAAGGCGGTCGGCGTGAGGCTAATAACATCACTCACCAAGTGCCGAGTGTGGCCTATAAAACATAGGTCTTGTCCTATCTGCCCAATACGCCTGAAAGCGCGGAAAAGGGCCCTTAAATTTTATTTATAGATATACACACACACACGCATACATACAAATATAATTTTTTTTTTTAATTTTGAAACACTGTTTGTCATCTGTTCCCCCTTCTTCTCTTTTTCCTAGGAATAAAACCCATGGTGACCTGTATCCCCCCCCCCCCCCTCCCCCCTCCCCCCACCATCTACTATCCTATGCCACTGCCTGTGATCTGCTTTGTTAGTCTGCCATCCAGATTTATAAATATATATATATATTTTTTTTTCTAATCTCAAAGTGATGTGGTAAACTTTTAAGTATCCGCCTGGATGGGACAAGCCGATAATTCGATCGAAAATCTCACCCCCCCCCCCCCCCCCCCCACCCCCCCCCCCCCACACCCAAAAGGGCTCCGGCCTCTGTGGCGGAATTGAAAAGCCTGTTGCCTCGTGTGTTTTTTTTTTTTCACGGACGCCTGGTTCTGTTTACAAGTGCAGTTTTATATAGATCCTTAGGGGTCGTCTCTAGAGCTACAAAGTTCGTTCTTTGTGCCGCTAGCCGTTATAACGAGAAAGCCCGAGCTATGTGCATTAAAACTGTGCAGTGAACCTTTAACTTTAACCAAATATACCGAAGTCGCTGAGTGGATCAACAAATGTATAGTAATCATTATGTGCCGTGTCGATAAACGACAGCTGCCATGTCTCCCCTCTCACACGATAGTCAGAAGTACGGAATATGTCAGGCTAATGTCTCGGCTCCCACTCTCGCGCCGTCTCATATTACCAAGTCTTCAAGGTTTTTATCACTTTGCCTTCATCTTGCTCGCTTTCCGTCAGACTCACCAGTCGTTACCAAGTCCCGAGTCTTCTCATTTAAAAAAGTTAGTTGCGTATACTTTACAGGACCTTGCAAAACCAGCCCCAGCGTTTTTTGGTTGTTGTGGTTTTTCTAGGCAAATTTTTACAAGCCGTTTGCAGATGGGATCGAACTCGGCACCACGTCATCCCGAAACACGTTCACAACGCTATAATGGATCAAGGCCGAAGGGTTGCGATATCCATAGTACCTAGCCAAAGGGTTTACAACTCATGGTTTCTGGATACAAGCCACAAACGCCGACTCCTTCTTATAACATGTCCTCCGAAATACACCGACTGTCTACGTTTAATGTTTCTAGTCAGTCAGCGGTTGTCATCTCTCTCTCTCTCTCTCTCTCTCTCTCTCTCTCTCTCTCTCTCTCTCTCTCTCTCTCTCTCCCTCTCTCTCTCTCTCTCTCTCTCTCTCTCTCATGTTGGCCATGTCTTTTGCTGTTGTCATCTCTCTCTCCCGTTGGCCATGTTCTCAAGGTCCCAGACGACAGCCAGATAGTTACACTACTTTTTTAGTCCCAAGGAACGCATCATACGTTCATAATTCATACCTAGAGGACTGATAAACGCAAGATGCGCCGATTTTACATCTCTTTTGACTACTCCTTGGGCCTCTGATGCTAAACCCATTGCGACGCAAAGAGCTGAGTGGCATTTATTGCAGTCACAAGACCAGAATAGACACAGCCAAGAAGATAGCTAACTTCTTCAAACTGCTAAGAATAGTCATAATTTTAACAATTAACCTTAAATCTCCATCAAAACAGTGTTAACAGTGGGATTCCTTTTGCCGTAAGGTTTCAATAACCAACACAATTACATGCAGCCGTCTTTACTCGTCTGACATTCCCACTCACTGAACTCCACCCCAAACCCCCCCCCCCTGCCCCCACCCACCCCCTACCCCCTATTTCCCTGTGTCCACCATTGTCTGTCCTTCCTCATTAACATTTGCCCTATGTCGACTCCTCCTTCCACGTACATTTTTATGTCGCGTTCTTTGCCTGTGAGCCGCTATGGTGTAGCGGCTGGACGCTAGCCTGCCAGTCGGAAGGTCGTGGGTTGTGGTCCTGACGGGGCACTACTTTTTTCAAAGACCTCGTCGACTCCGTTTTAAACTGGTGCTGGGTATAGTCCTGGGAAGTTAAAGCGGCTGGTGTGATGTTCATCATATCACCCACCGTGTGCTTAATGGTCTGTAAAATAAAAGTATAACCCTATAAGCCCAATATCCCCGAAAACGTGGAAAAGGGATCTTTTTACTTCTTAGTCTGCCTTTCTGGTCTTTGCAGCCACGGCCAGCTCCAGATATAAGGCCGTACAGCTCAAACGGCAATTCCCGTTTTTGTGAGGCTGGCGTGGCCAGTCGGTGGTAACAATTGTTATCAAGTAGATTTACACTCAAACTGAACTACAGTTTAATTAATTTGCTGCATGTGTTATTGAAAGAATTATCATTTTGATGATAAATATTTTCTAATAGCCCATTTATTTATCTTCAAAATAATAATTCATTCAAAAACACATGTTGCAAATTAATTAAACTGTAGTTCAATGTGTGTATAAATCTACTCGATAACAGGTTTTACCACCGACCGGCCACGCCAGCCTCACAAAAACGGGAATTCTCGTTTGAGCTTGTTGGCCTTATATCTGGAGCTGGCCGTATTTGCAGCTAACATAGAGAGGTCGTAGTACAGTTTTATTTGTAACTTAAGATTTCCCCGTATCAAGGACTCAAGTAAGGCTGAGAGTTTTCGTTGGTATCTTTCAGTTATTGAGGGCTCAGGAAAGTGCTTGTATCGGAGACTGTTGATTCGGACCCGGTTAGCAACTGTAGAGCCAGTGCGGGAATGGCGATCGTAAATTACACCGGCAGGTGTATGGCGGGGCTAGTAACGCAAACTATCTCTGGGGCGAACTGCCTATTGCCTTTTGTAATTACATTAAAGGCCTATGGGTATTCTCTGATGGTATTGGTTTAGTTAAGGAAAGACACATTGTCATGGAGCTGTCGACCAGCCATTGCCTGTAAGGCGGTAAGCAGCTCCACGATGAGTATTATATAATAGAAAGGCATCGGTTTCACGTCCGGTTAAGACTAATGATTTCCTCCTCTCCACTCCACAAAGTATAGACAATTTTGTAAATGCTATGGGTTGCCCACCCAGCACGATGCCTTCTCGGGCTGACTTGTTTGCCCCCATGGACAGGTAACATCAGTATGTTTTGAGGATGTAGACAGTGAGGTATGTAGGTTTTTAGTGTATCTGTGTAATTATCTGTTTTCTGCGTTTGTGTGATGCCATAGTGGTTCTATATATATATATATATATATATATATATATATATATATATATATATATATATATATATATATTGGTCGAATCTAGTCAAATGTGACTGTGGGGTCATTTATGGTAATGTATGTTGTTGTTGTTTGTTTGTTTTTTGTCTCGAGGCATGGCGTCCGCTTCGAGTGCTGGAGTTCCCTGGTTCAAGCCCCGCTTAAAAGCTCTGATTTTTACACGTAGACTTGTAGTAATTGTCCCTGGTCTCTGGCTAGTGAGATCAAACGCCCGTGTGTATTGTTACGCACGTAAAAAATCCCTTGGCAGCTGGAAATTGAATAAGAGAAGCCTAACGGCGCTGCCGGGGCAAAATTTGCAGTTGAAAATCTACCCACAGTATTTCAGGATACACGTCGGTGCTACGGAGTTGGTGCACTGCGTGGAGATTTTTCGGATTCAGGCCTGAGTCATAAGTAGAACGGTGCACTTATGGGGTAATACCCTTGTGCCATGATGTTGATTCGTCTAATATACCTAATGTATGTTTTGATATGTGGTGGCAATAGGAACGGCAAGACACACATATAATCAAACTGCTACACGTACCATCAGCATTATAACTCTTCAACTGAACTCACTTCAGTGCAGCTCAGCTTAGTCATATTTTGATATACTACAAAGCGCTCTAGCTACTATCACTATTTATAATCAGAAAATGTGTCCCCAAAACGTTAGTGTATATTCACACCGTGTAACTGTATTCTGAAATTGAATAAAGGTTTTTCTTTTTCTAATAATCTTGTCGTCCCTTTGTGGGATGCAATTTTTCAGTATCTGAAGCCCTTCTCTGGCTCTTGACAGGGGCCGCAATATAGCCTGGCCATAAATATGGTTTAATGGCTGAACGCGGTTTCTGAGACCTCTCATCTGGTGATCCTCATCCACATGGTGGCACTTGGTGTCATCGGGTGTTTATCGCTTGTGTGATGTCCTGGTGGGGTAAAAAAAATAAAAGATAGATAGAGATGAATTCAGCTGAAATACTACACACAGTCTCTCAAAATGTCTTGGACAAAGAAGAGGAGAAATACTGAAATCTTGAAAGATCTCAACACCAAGGAAGATTGGCTAATAAACAGCATCCTGTCTTGGAAGCTGAAATATTTTGGTCTTTTCGAGCGCCATGACGAATTGGAGAAAATATAGCAGAAGGCATGGTACCAGGAAGGAGGGGCAGGGGCCGACCGATACGAAGATGGGCACAGTTTATAAGTGACTCATTGGGTATGAAAATGCATGAAGCGGCAGAGCTGGCGAGAGACCAAGTTTTT